GTTTAATACTTGAATTGCTAATGAAACTTCATCCTTGTCCTTTAAAAACAGGGTAGTGTCATCAGCCAGTTGTGTTAGGATAAGTTCTTTTTCTGCAACAATTAACCCTTTCAGAGGACTGGTTTTAATATGATCTGCCAGAAGCTGAGCTACCAAAAGAAACAGGTAGGGGGAGACTGGACACCCCTGTCTGATTCCTCTGCTGATGTTAAATCTAGGAGAGGAGCCATTCCTTAATTTGATAGAACTGTTGTTGTTTTGATATAGAGTTTTGATAATCGTTACAAATAGCTTTCCAAATCCAAACTTTTCTAAACTTTGAAACATAAAGCCATGTTCTACAGTGTCAAAAGCCTTATAGAAGTCTAAAAATAAAATAAGTCCATTATCAGAAACAAAATCAGGATAATCTAAAATATCAAGAACAAGTCTTATATTATTTGTGATATGCCGATTTTTCATAAATCCTGATTGAGTTTCGTCAATGATTGAATGAAGAACTGATTTTAATCTTTTAGCGATCACCAAGGCTAATATTTTATAGTCGGTATTGAGAAGACAGATAGGTCGCCAATTATTGAGAAATAAAGGGTCTTTGTTGGGTTTTGGTATAAGTGTAGTTAAGCCCTGAGTAAGAGTTGCAGGCAGAGAGCCATTTTTAATGCTTTCATTAAAGACCTCCAGTAAAAAAGGGGCGAAGTCATTAGAAAAGTGTTTATAGAATTCAGCACTTAGACCATCGGTCCCAGGGGATTTGTTGGTTTTGAGATGTGCAATAGCATCAAGAATTTCATGAATTGTGATTGGCTCCTCACATCGTTTCTGGTCGATATTAGAAATTGGTTTTACTATTAAATTATTTAATAAGGAATCAATTGAGGCTTGACAGAGGTTAGAACGATACAGATTCTCATAAAATGAACAACAGTATCTAGCAATATGATCAGGATTATCAGTTATTGAGTTGTTAATTTTAAGTCTGCTAATAGAATTATTGACAGCATTATGTTTTTCAAGATTGAAAAAGTAATGGGTATTTTGTTCTCCTTCTTCCATCCATTTTCTTCTTGATCTAACAAAAGCACCTTTACTTTTATTTATGTATATATTGTCTAACTTAATCTGTAATTCAGTTAATTCTTGTTGTTCTAAATCACTTAAAGTGGAAGGATTTGAATAAGACATCTCAACAATTCTGGAAATTATACAATTTTCTTCTGCTCTAATAGATTTGACCTTATTACTACTAAATTTTCTTAAGAATTTTCCAGCTTCAAATTTGAACAATTCCCAATTAAGGTTATAGCGAGCATCTACATGAGCTTTAGACCAATACTGATTGAATAACTTTGATATATTTGCAGAGACTTCTTCAAATTGCAGTAAGGAACTGTTCATTTTCCAGTGTGAGTAAAAAGATTGTTTTTTGTCTGAAAAATTTAAAATTAATTCAATAGCTTTGTGGTCAGTAAGAGGAGTAGGAAGTATTTTAACAGTTACATTCTCCTTGTTTACTGTGTTTGATATTAACCAGAAATCAATTCTAGACATTCTTGTTGACGATTTATTATTCCAAGTGAATATATAGTCATGAGGATGGACATCTCTCCAGATATCAGTCAAGTTGAATTTTTCCATAAAGGATTTGACAATTGAGTTGGAGGCATTAGGTCTGTTTGGAGGCCATTTATCAAGATCCCCATCAAGAACAGTATTAAAATCTCCTCCCATGATAATTATAGCTTTGGGGAATTTCTTTAGCCATTCTAAAAAAAAAATCTCTATTAAGTGAAATAGACTATCATTCTCTCGTTTGTTGTTGTAACCATAAATATTAGCACAAATGAAGCAATGGTTTTCAAAAGCAAAAACTTGACAGATATAGTGTCCCATTAAGTCACTTTCAGAGGCAATAATATTCCCCTTAAATCTATGTTTTAACGTCATAACTCCTGCAGAATGCTCCGAACCATGAGAAAACCAAATGGAATTTCCCCATTGGGCTTTCCAAAAATTAACATCAGAAGCAACTGAATGACACTCCTGAAAGAAACAAAAATCAGGATTGATATTTTTGGCAAATAGAAACAACGCTTTCCTTTTTAACAGTCAACAGTCAAACAGTCAAAAGGGCTCGGTCAGAGAAGGTGAATAGTAACAAACATCGTGGACCAGTACCTTATTAAGGAACTAAATATTAGTTGGCACTGAAATATACATACTTAGAACAGTATGGTGAACCAAAACAGGATATCTGAAATATAACTTATTCCTTTACTGGGTCAAAAGTTGCAGGAATCTCCACGCCGTCAATGAAACCTCGACCACCTATGAAATATGCTGACTTCCCCTCTTCCCGAGCTTTCTGGATGGACGGCCATAGTTTCTGTCGGAAGTCGCGGTCTTCTTTGCACAGATCTTCAGTAAAACGGAGACCATTTTTTTTAAGAAAGTCGTTGCCTTTAGCTGCTTTCCATATGTAATCTCGATACCTTCTGGCGACAAAACGAATGATAATAGGACGGGAGCTGCCGACGAACTTTTTCCCAACTCGATGAGCAACATCAATGAAGAGCTGAAGCCTCTCTTTTTCCCTCGGCATAATCTCTTGGCAGACCCGGGTCACCTCCGCCACCGCGTCCTCCTTCTCCGTCTCGGGGACTCCGTGAAGTCTGAGGTTCCAACGGCGACTGTAGCGCTCCAGCTCGGTAACACGAATCGAACAGGCTGTGGTGTTTTTTTCAGTGAGCTCAACACGTTTTCCCATGCAGTCAACCTTTTTTTTAAAAATTTCCATTTGTTCAAGCATATTTCCCAACTTCATTTCCAGTGCATCACTTCTTGTGTTGATCAGGTTAGCAAGCATGGCAATAGGATCTTCAGTATTTGGGTTGCTTGTCGTGCGAGGAATATTGGGAGAAGGTTTCTTGGCAGCGGGAGACTTACTTGGTGTTACCGGGAGCGGGGGAAATTCATCCTCCTCAGCATCTGTTTGTGGCTCCGTGCCAGTGTAGTTATGGTCATCATTAGCAGGCATGGTAGTTGTGAGCAACTTATGCTCATTGGGTCTTTTCTGAGCAGCTTTTCGCATTTTCTTTCACGAAGAGTAGTGAAATTCAATAAGAACTAATTTCTTCTCAAAGTGTTATTTGGGGAAGCAAATAACTGCCATCTAACGTCCTGGTACTGAGAGCACGATGCAATATGTCTTACACGTCCGCCATCTTGTCCGGACTCCCCTTGTCCGGTGTAGGTACCAGATTGACTCGGGCTTTTGATGACGTCACATAATTGTTTTAACGTTTGCACAATTGCGCAAAACATTTTGATTGGTCTGGACAGCTTACTAAAGTAATTATAGCGGGGTGTAGGTTTTCTTTGAAAGCGGCATTGCGGTTTGTAAACGGACAATTTTACGAAGAAATTCTCCATGGTCCCTGCGCCTTCCGATGACGTCACCGAATTCGCCATGGGCCTTGCGCCTCCCGATGACATGACATTATGTCAACGCCACTCAAACAAACTACATTGAGCCCGCGGTCTGCATTTGTAACGAGAATAAATTCAGGAGAATGAAGCTAAAGGGATACAAAAAATAAACTTGTAATATTACAAAAATACTACGAATACAAAGTATATTCAGAGATTAAAGTCCCTCTGATACTGTTTAAGTGACTGAGAAACTGCAGATTTGCCACATTTAAGATGGCGGACGCTCTGACGCATCTCAGCATAGGCGCAGGCCCCCCGAGTCAGTCTGGTACCTACACCGGCTCCCTCCATGTTCGGTGCTTCGGCTTCCCGTGTCCGGTGTCTCTCCCCTCCAACCAAACAGCTGCCTTTTTATCACCATCACCACTGTCTGTATGCTGCTCAGCTGATGGAGAACACCTGTGCTGTGGGCGTGTCCAGGTGTGAGTGGTAATGTGACCTCCAAACAAAATCAGAAAACACATGCAACACACAAAAATGACACTAACAAGTAAGTAAGTTCAAAAATAAAGAAAACCCAAAATTAGAAAATGACATGCAATCAACTCGACAAAAAAGGCCACATTACCACATCACCACACGTCACGTGCCTCAGATGCTCAGAACCTCATGAGGCGCTGCTCGCCTGCTCTAAATGCCCTGCAGGACCTTTTTATGCACCTTGATAGACTTTGAATGTAAAGCTGCCCAAAGCGCATTAGGTGTGAACGTAGCATGATTTAATAAGAAATGGAGATCCTGTGTTCTTTATTCAAAAAGCTGTGAAGGTTTTTCACGTACTGTTAATAAAAAAAAAACAACTTACAATCAGTGGAAGAAAACAGTAAAATGTTGAATAAACCTTGAGAGCGAGGAGTCTGAACTGTGATGGGAAAAATGATCCTCTGCTCCATTATCTTCTATTTCAATCAACCCCTCTCATCCAGACACTGTGTAGCCTTGCAGGCATGAGATGCCCTGGGTGAATACTTTTAGAAAGGAAGTAAAGGGAAATTGTCACAATAACAATATAGTGAAGGGATTTTTCCGACCACAGTCCTGTGTAAAGCGTTTTGAAAAATAAAAAGTACCGGTAAAAGTAATATATATATTTCAATGCTCTATAGTTCTATAGTTTGTGGATGACAGTTGAAAACTAACTGCAAATGACCTTACAAAGGTATACCAGTTGAGCCAAATGACATCCAATCACCAATGTCCTCTTTAGGAAATAAAATAAGAGAAATCTGCTCAGAATTCCTTGATGCAGGAACAATTTGGCCTCATGTCTGTGACGTATTACAGGTAAGTCAGACTTATTACTACCAAATACAGCATGATAGAAGGAACCTCTTTGGGTTTTCTCTGCTGTAAACTGACTATAGATCCACCAGATGATGATCTAGCTCCATCTAGTGTACAGCTGCTATAAACATCTGCCATGTTAGACCGGTAATGATGTCACTGTTATTTTCCTTATGAGGGCGTGACTGTGTTTTAGGAAGTACTTAAAGAAAAACCAAGGAAGACAACAGCGGTCATGATCTTCTAAGCTGGCGTTTCCTTTACCCACCAGGAAAAGATTTGGAAGAGGATCTGAGGATAAAAGGAGAGACACTTAAATAACAAACTGGAAAACTCTGATCAAACACCAGCAGGATCTTCATATCTTCATATCTTCTTCTAACCTAAACAAGGTTCTTGCCCTTAATAATTAAGCCTGACAGTAAGAACTGATTGATTCTGATGAAGGACAATATCTGTGTATTTCTGTGAAGGTATTGACACTAATATGAATCAGTGTGAAGAGCAAGAGGATGAAGCCCAGAGAGCTAAAGTCCATCTGAGCAGCAAACTGAGGACCCAGATCACAGCAGAGAGGTAAGATGATCATTTTGGACTCCTCTACACATAACAGTGAGGAATGAAAATGTTTTCTCTTTCCTATATGGAAGAGCGGAGCTACCAAGACGAGAATCTGATGCATCGGAAACAAGCACCGTGTCCTTCCAGTCTCGAGAACCACCTATTGCTTTTAAAACTGCACCTTTGGAGACAAAGTGAGTCAACCTAAGCTGAACTACTGTGGGGAAGAAGAAGGTAGAACAACACTTAGATGCAGACGTAGACAACTTTTATTGTAGTTTTGTATACAAAGAGTGTGTACAAAACTGTAAACAGTATGGGAGAAAAAAAATGGTACAAAAAATGCATTGATATGGACGTTTAGAGCATTAATTTATATATATGGTGCAATTCTGCAGTATTTTGGTTTGGTGTTCTCAGTGTGATGCAGAGTGTGTGACATTATTTAGAGATTTTTCAACAGTTCAGCTTTCTGATGGCGGTGGGGAAGAAGCTGTTGCAGAATCTGCTGGAACACCTCACCGCTGTTTGAAAATTTCTTTAGAGATATTTTTGATTTAAACAGCTATAAATCATTTGTAATGTTTGTTATATAACAGAAACCAGAACTTAACTAAATGGTTTATATTAAACTTCTGCAAAAAACATATTTTTTCAGTTTGATAGTGACTGTACTGTAGGTCCAAAACATATTGTTTGCTATGATTAATTTACATTTCCTCATCGGAAGAAATAAATAACATATTCTGCTTTTTAATGTGATAAATCTGACAGTCGTCTAATTTTTAAAAATAATACCTCATCCTTAAACTGTGCCAAATGTTTTTGTAGTTCTGACCAACAGAGCTCCGATGTTCTCGGCACAGAGTCTGCAGCTCAGCATCTGACTCAGCTGGATTCTGTGTTCATGGTAAGAATCTTAAAAGTGATAAAATCAAACTTGTATTCATTTAAAAAAGCTTCAAAAACAAGAAAAGCAACTAGATGTCATTGGTCAATGACTATTTTTTGGCTTAGCTCTAATTCAAAAGGTGCCTGTCAGGTGCAGCAAAGAAGGGAACCATGCAAACTGCAAAATGGGCAAACAGAAAAACAAAATGCAACAGAGAAACAAACAGAAGCTAAAGGAAGCTGGATATGCTGCCATAAAACGGGACGGAGGGACCCAGTATTTAAAGTGATACAGTCAGTAGGAATGTTCAAAACATTTATTAAAACAAAACAGAACAGAAACGCGGAGCTGTAGAACTGCTGCAGACTAAGGCTCAGTGGTTGAGGGGACAGAGACAAGACATGGTACCAGGATTTCTGCAGAAACTTTAAACTGGTCTCCTCCTTGGAGCCAGGCTTACGGTATTAAAACTGACCTTCTCCGCGTACCGACCTAAAACCCTGAGGGCTCTGTGTAGGAGGACCACGAAATGATCAGAAGACAGGACATACATGAAAACCCTCTCAATCTGCTAGCCGCCAGGATCCAGGACATGAATGGTAAATGGCATAAACTTATATAGCGCCTTTATTCAAGTCAGGAGACTTGACTAAAGCACTTTCCACTTAATTCATTCACGCATACACTGATGTAGCCACAGCTGCCCTGGGGCTCACTGACAGAAGCAGGGCTGCCATACACTGGCGCCACCGGGCCCTCTGACCACCATCAGTAGACAATGCAGGTGAAATGTCGTGCCCAAGGACACAATGACACTGAAAGTCGGAGTCGGGGCTTGAACCGTCAATCCTTGGATTTCAGGGCAAACTCCTACATCCGACGCCACTGTCACCCTGACTGAATCACATGAATCTTGCAAATAACTAAAAACTACAGAAACAGACAGGCATAAGAGAAACAATGATCTGGCCTTGATAGCTGGGCTGAGCAGAATATAAAGGAAAAACCAAGGTGAGGATGAGGACTAGTTAGGAACCGGCAGAGATGGCAAAAGTACTCACTTTCCGTACTTGAGTAAAAGTACAGATACTTGTGTTAAAAAATACTCTGGTAAAAGTGGAAGTACTGATTAGACTTCTTTACTCAAGTAAAAGTAACGAAGTACAGGCTTGTAAATTTACTTAAAGTATAAAAGTAAAAGTAGAAACCACTTTTTTCATGCCGTTGCCTACATTTTAAATGGATGTCTGCCAATAGGACTAGATCTCCGTTGTGTTCATTTTCAATCATCTCGTCGTCCATGCTACTATGCTAACGCCACCGCCACCAAGCTGCAATGATTTGCCGCCAATGAATACCGCCGAATCTGTCGATTCATCTTGTAGTGGTGCGTCAAATGCAACGTAGATTCCCATCCAATTAGATTGAATTTCGTATTGATGACGTGAAAAATAATAACGGTAACTCCATTGAAATGATTCAAAACTAAAGTAACGAGCCAATTTTTTAAAATATAATCATGGATCATGACAAATGCAAAGGAAAACACCAAGTTAAAGAAATACAAACAAAAAGCAATATTAGCTCTGCAAACAGGTTGATCAACAGTTCAAGTGGGACCACTGCAGATTTATAGGACTAAAAATTCTGATTTTCTATAATTAAAAAAAAAAAATTATGTTTAAAAAAGACATAAAGGAAAAGTAACTTTTTTCTCCAACTTTCTCCTGAGCATCACCTCAACATCTTCACTGAGGCCCCGTCCACACGAAGTCAAACCCTGGCCTAAACGCACAACTTTTTCACCAAACCAGCCTCTCATCCATACGAAGCCGGCGTTTCGGGGGTTTGTAAACGATCTTTTTTTTATTAAGCCTGGGAAGATTTATAAACGCCGTTTTCGTGTTTCCATCTTTAAGCTCTAACCGCATTTTTTTTCTTACACGCATGCGTCATAGCGTCGCCTCTAAACACGCATGCGCGACACAGTATCACAACAACAATGGCGCCGTACTGTGTTGAATGGTTGCTGCTCATGCTACTCACCCTGCTGTCGGGCTTACAACAGAATCTTCTTCTTCTGGAATATCTCCAGGAAGAACAGAGCAATATCGACCACATAGTTCAGCACCTGAATTTGACTGAACCACGAAAATGGACCCGCAGGGCAACCATGTATAAATATTACTGCGCATGCCCAACATTTCGTTGCCTGTTTTCGCCTATTTTTGCTTTGGCACCACAGCGCCACTTACAGGCCTGGCATACATTTTGCAGCGTTTTCATGCATTCGTGTGGACGATGACATTTATTTTACGTCTCCGTCTTTACGACAAACGTTCTGGAAAATATTAGCGTTTCGTGTGCGTTTTGACTTCGTGTGGACGGGGCCTGAGGTCTGGTCCCATCTGGCTCTGTAGTCGACTCCCTCTTGTGCTTTGTTTTCATTTTGTGAGGCATGTTTGTAGCCTTTTTAAATACTTGTTGATTCTTAGTAAAAGCAGCAATAATATTCAGCTGCATTTATTTCACTTTCATTTGCACTTTTTTGTATTTGTGCATCATACCTGAAACACGTTGAGCCTTTCAGAATATCCGATTCCCTTTTTTTCTGATTGCTGCTTGTTTCCATCTGTGGATTCAGATCAAAAAATATAAAGTTTAAAACAATCTCTACAACACTTGTGAAATATGATCAATAATCTTCAGGTAAAAGCTGAATGAAATCTCTTCTGCAGGTACTGGAGGAAAATATTCTGACTTTTATGAAGAATGAACTGAAGAATTTTCATAAAGTTCTGGATCCAGATTCTTCCTATGATTCAGAGAGAGAAATGGAGAACGAAGATGTCCTGGTTGGTGAGAATGAAGAGCAGAGGAGGAGGATCAGGGAGTCATTTCTGAAGATGGTGCTGGACTTCCTGAGAGGAATGGAACATGAGAACCTAGCAGACCTTCTGCAGAGCAGTAAGATATTTTATTTAAAATGCAAACGTACCTGGCTTTTATCATTCCGCTCAAAATATACAAACCATGACAAAGAACCCCCCCCCCCACACACACACACACTTAAACGAAACGTTGGATTAAGACATAGACATATGACCAAGAGAAACTCCTGAGTCAACAGACTCTTACAAATATCCTGTTCCTGGAATCTAAATTTTCACAAAAAAAATTCCAATGTTAGGAAACAATTAGGATTTAGATGTTTGTGGTGGTCCGTCCAGTAAGGCACAAGGACAAAGGCATATAAAAAAGTTTTTTCTATTTATTTTCCAAAAAAATCTTCGCAAAAAAGGACTTACATCAAATCTCAAAAAAAAATATACCAAAATGTGCCCAAAGAAATCAACTAAGGCATACCTAACTCAGGATAACAAAACCAAAAAACTGACCTCACACAATGAACACACAGGGGAATTTATACACAAAGGCTAGCCTATACAAACGAGGAGGGGTGGGAGATAAGACAAAAACAAACAATGCATAAACATAAATAACTAATTCAAACTAACAACATTGGATGACAACACAACTATCAAAAGAAATCATCATAACACCAAAAATGCTTTAACAGTTATGCCATAAGTGGAGAGAGAGAAGTAGACTCCAACATCCAGTCCCCTGCTTCCAGCAGCCTGATGGTACGTCCCACTTCCTGGTTTGCCTTTCAACCAGTCCTCTCCACTCAGCCAGTCCTTCAAACTCAGCAAAGACACGTAGTTAATTCAAATAAACAAATGGTTTTTACTAAATGTGTGCACATATAATAGTAAACAACCTAATGCCAAAAAACCACCACAAAAGTGAAATTATAAATCTATTGTGTGAAGACCTTTAAATAAAGAAATACTAACACGGAGGAAAAGATGGAGGAACCTCCACAGTGTTTCACACTCACAATGTCATGATCAGGTATTAAAAGGGTTAATGCACAAATTAAGCTATATTTTGAAACCTTTCTGTTCTGATATCTGGAAATTTTAAGAAATAATCCCGATGCACATTTCTCAGAACCTAAGATTTTAACCTATGAAAAAACAAACAAAAAAACATTTAAAATGCCCATAGCTGTGAGTATAGAAGATGACAATAGAAGGATGTTTGTTTTTACTGTTTACAAGCCCATGGAGTCCTCATTTCCAGAACCATTGTTTTTTAAATCGCTGTGGATGAGGATTAAATTATTCAATTAAAACGTAGAAGGATTTACTGTAGGTAAAACTGCAACATACAATCTGTGCACATATCCAAAACACGCCTGTTCTTTGTTTTCTGTTTTAGCAGAAAACAAGTTAAAAACTTTTTGTTTTTCCCCGCAGGAATTCCTATCACAGACTTTCAGCGGAGACACAGAGCTAACCTAAAAAATAAGTTTCAGTTTGTGTTTGAGGGGGTTGCCAGGGAAGGAAACCCAACCGTCCTGAATGAGATCTACACTGAGCTTTACATCACAGAGGGAGGAGCTGCAGAGGTCAACGATGAACATGAGATCAGACACATCGAAACGGCTTCAAGAAAACAAGAAACGCCAGAAAAAACAATTAGGCAAGAAGATGTTTTTAGAGCACCACCAGGAAGGGTTGAACAGACCAGAACGGTGATGACGAAGGGGGTAGCTGGTATCGGAAAAACCCTCCTGACTCAGAAGTTCACTTTGGACTGGGCCGAGGACAAAAACAACCAGGATATCCAGTACATCTTTCCCTTCACCTTCAGAGAGCTGAATATGCTGAAAAAGAGAAAGTTCAACTTGGTGGAACTTGTTCATCATTTTTTCCCAGAAATCAAAGAAGCGCAAATCTTCAGGTTTCAGGACTTCCAGGTTCTTTTCATCTTTGATGGTCTGGATGAGTGTCGACTTCCTCTTGACTTCCAGAAAACCGAGATCCTGACTGACGTCACAGAGTCCACCTCCGTGGGTGTGTTGTTGACAAACCTCATCAGGGGGAAACTGCTTCCTTCTGCTCGCCTCTGGATAACCACACGACCTGCAGCGGCCAATCAGATCCCTCCCCGGTGTGTTGACCTGGTGACGGAGATCCGAGGATTCACCGACTCACAAAAGGAAGAGTACTTCAGGAGGAGGTTTAAAGAAAAGAAGCAGGCGAAGAACGTCATCTCCCACATCAAGGCGTCGAGAAGCCTCTACATCATGTGTCACATTCCCATCTTCTGCTGGATTATAGCTACGGTACTGGAGTGTGTTTGGATTAGAGATAAAGGAGAAATGCCAAAGACCCTGACTGAGATGTACGTCCATTTTTTGGTAGTTCAAACAAAAGTGAAAAAGGTCAAATATGACGGCCAGCCAGAGGGAGATCCACACTGGACCCTAGAGAACAAAAAGATGGTTGAGTCTCTGGGTAAACTGGCCTTTGAGCAACTGTTGAAGGGAAACCTGATCTTCTACGAATCTGACCTGACAGAGTGTGGTATTGATGTCCAAGCAGCCTCAGTTTACTCAGGAGTCTTCACACAGATCTTCAGAGAGGAGCGAGGGTTGCACCAGGAGAAGGTGTTCTGCTTCGTCCATCTGAGCGTCCAGGAGTTTCTGGCTGCTCTTTATGTCCATCTCACCTTCAAGAACACCGGAGTCAACCTGCTGAGATCCTCCCAAGTATTGAAAGAAAGACAAAATGAATGTTCAAAAACCGAGCTGCACCAAACAGCTGTGGATAAGGCCTTAGAGAGTACAAACGGACATCTGGACCTCTTCCTGCGCTTTCTTCTAGGTCTTTCCTTGCCAACAAACGAAAAGCTTCTGCAAGGACTGCTCCTACAGTCAATTAGAAGCTCAGAAACCAACCGAGAATCGATAGACTACATAAAAAAGAAGATAGCTGAGAATCTGTCTCCTGAGAAAAGCATTAATCTGTTTCACTGTATGAATGAACTTAACGATTGTTCTTTAGTGGAGGAAATCCAGCAGTACTTGCGATCAGGAAGTCTGTCCTCGTGTACGCTGTCCTCTTCTCAGTGGTCAGCTCTGGCTTTCATCTTACTCTCCTTGGAGAAGGATTTGGACGTGTTTGACCTGAAGCAATACTCTGCTTCAGAAGAGGCTCTGCTGAAGCTTCTGCCAGTGGTCAAAGCCTCTAACAAAGCTCTGTAGGTCCATCTCAATGTAGCTTTTTATTTGCCAGCTAATCCTCTTAATTTCAGCATTTTCTAAAGTTTGTGTTACTTTGTCACAGACTCAGTTGCTGTAACCTGTCTGAGATCAGCTGTGAAGCTCTGTCCACAGTCCTGGAATCTGAGAACTCCTCTCTGAGAGAGTTGGACCTCAGCAACAACAGCCTGGGAGATTCAGGAGTAAAGATCCTCTCTGTTGGACTACAAAGTCCACACTGTAAACTGGAGAGCCTCAGGTGAGTTCACTATTGGTGATCTGGATCTTGATTTAAAGGCCACTAGGGGCGCTATACCTGTAATTTTCACATCTGAGGTTTCACACCTGAGATTTACACATTTAGGTGTTAGCTTTTGTTTGTAGCCTGCTAGCTCTCTCTGCTGATATTTTGCTTCTACTAAACATCAAAAATAATAACAAAGATCTATGACTGTATACAAGGAGTAAAGAGTTAAAGGAATAGTAAACCCAAAACATGATTAGCCTTCATTTTCTACTCCCCCCCATGCTGAACAACACTCTGGAGTACTTTTTTGATATCTCAAATGCATCTGGAGATCTGGGAGGCTTCTTGCTGTCTGCTGACATTCAAATAATGGAGGTCTATGGCGCCCGAGGCAGAAAGGTCCATAAAAGTCCACAAAAAATGTGTCAATATTCCTCCATACTGCTCGTCCAATGTATTCCAAGTGTCCTGAGTGGGTAGCATCCAGAATTTACTCGAAACAAAGTCATTTAGAATGTTTTTAGAGCATAAACAGTAGTGTATAGGATTTCCTGAAAGCGCGTTCATGACGCTACGGAAGCCGGCAGACCAAACCAGATGAAAGTGCGCATTCAGCGTCTGCTCTGCCAATAATGCAAGCGTAGAAGAAGAAATGTGCTGTTTACATGTGCAAAGAAAGAAACAACGAAAGAAAAATGTCTGAGGACTTCAGTGTTGAGGAAGAGCATGAGTTCTTTGCCGAGCTGAATGCGCTGGTTTGGTCTGCCGGCTTCTGTAGCGTTGTGAACGCGCATGTGCGCGCTTTCAGGAAATCCTATACACTACTGTTTATGCTCTAAAAACATTCTAAATGACTTCGTTTCGAGTAAATTCTGGACGCTACCCACTCAGGACACTTGGAATAAATTGGACGAGCAGTATGGAGGAATATTGACACGTTTTTTGTGGACTTTTATGGACCTTTCTGCCTCGGGCACCATAGACCTCCATTATTTGAATGTCAGCAGACAGCAAGAAGCCTCCCAGATCTCCAGATGCATTTGAGATATCAAAAAAGTACTCCAGAGTGTTGTTCAGCATGGGGGTGAGTAGAAAATGAAGGCTAATCATGTTTTGGGTGTACTATTCCTTTAACTAACCAGTCTAATAATAAAGTTTAGAAAAGAGAATCGGTTTTACATCCGGCTTCTTCTTTCAGTCTGTGCCAACTAGTGTTGCACCGATACCGTTACCAGCCCCGATACTGTCCTAAAATGGTGGTATCGGTATCGGCGAGTACCAACAAATAGGGCACCGATACCATTTTGAGAGCCATAAGATTATTCAACTATTATCACCCACTCCTGGTAGGCAATAAAAAGTTTTACTGGATTCACTTTGTATTAGATTTTTTCCTGCTTCACAAAGGTAGGCAGCAGCTTGACATGAAGCCATGATGGCGATTTTTACATTATTATGGTATCGTTATCGGCCAATACTGCACAGCTAGGTATCGGGGCCAAAAAATGGCATCGGCGCAACACTAGTGCCAACCAACAAACTCCTTTACAAGATCAACTCTTGTTTTTCCTTGCAAACAATCCCTTTTAGGTTTTCTCTTTTTAGCCTCCTCAGAAGGTTTAATCTTTTTCTTCCCTCAGACATTAACAGTAGTTAAGCAGGTGGAAAAATAGAGCAAATGCCTTAGCTACATGACTATAGTAGAGCCTGTGGCCATGAAGCGATATGTTCTTCCAGGTCACATGATCAGGCCAACGACAGTGCTTCTTCTCCCAACTTACATAGGTGGTGCTTTATATCGACCTGAGGAATCATTTAAAATAGCTCATATGCATCAACTCTTTAGGTCACAAAGTCTACGGTGTGCCTTTAAGCCTGACATTTACTCACGCATTGGGTTGTCCCATCAGTGTGAGAGCCCGGTGCATGATTCTATAGAAGCCCTGTACATGTTTATAGTTGATGCAGATCATGGCTTGTCTACAGTGAAAAGAAGGACTGGGTTATTTACTTTGGCCTTTTTGGAAACACAGGAAGGAGCAATCAGCTAAGTGAGCTTAGTGCTTGGGAAAAAAATCTTTCATTCCTTTAGAGACAGCATGAAAAGTCAGCTGAGTACAAAACATAGAGAGGAAAACAAGAAGAAAAGGGACCAGAAGAGAGGGACACAACCTAGAACAGATAATGGATGTCTATTCTATTAACATTTCTCTATCTGTAGAATGGGGCTGTTTTATACGGAGCCCCTCTGATGACATGGTCAAAAAAATTTTTTAATTGTGGCCACGAAGTAGTATTTCGTGGCCACGCAATAAGTTTATCGTGCGCACGAAATACTTATTAATAATATTAATATCATTCCTGGACAACTGGGTAAGCAAATCGAGTGCGCCTTCTCTAAGGTATAAGGCGCGTTCGATTTGCTTACTCAGTCGGTCTCCGCCAGTCACGTGACATTTGTTGCTAAGACGCCATTTTAGGTGGAAAAGGCGTAGTGTAAACAACCGCAGCATAGCTAAACGAAGGACTAAAGGCCCGTTTACATAGCAGCCTGTCCAAGATAAGTCATTACAGTTAACATAAGCCTGAAAACGGGGGCGGATTTATTGATATTATTAATAAGTATTTCGTGCGCACGTTAAACTTATTGCGTGGCCACGAAATAGTATTTCGTGCGCACGTTATACTTATTGCGTGGCCGCGAAATACTACTTCGTGGCCACAATTAAAAATTTTTTTTGACCATGTCATCAGAGGGGCTCCGTAGTTTTATGTGTTGTCTTCTAAATTCAGAGGTCCCCTTGACGGTCTTTGCCTAGGGCCCCAAATTCCCTAAATCCGCCCCTGCCTCAGTGGAATAATGTTCAGCCTTTGTGCAAAAGAGCGGATGTTGCTGTTGCATACTGCTGTTACTCTACTAGGACTTGATGGTTCTTAAAAAAAACAACAAAAAAACAGTACGTTATTCTGCAAAATATTTTAAGGAGGCACAACAACAAGAACCACACACACATGGACCGGACATACGAACTAGGGCTGCAACTAACGATTATTTTAAAAATCGATGAATCAGCCGATTATTTTTTCGATTAATCGATGAATCGGACAAAAAATATTTTTTATGTTAACCTCTTTATTCCAAAATAAACATTTTAGACAGAACAAACAAGCACAAAAGTACAGGTTGCTCATTAACTGTCCTGGTGCAATATGAAAACTACGCAAACTTACATGAGAAATGTAGCTGTACATCCACAAAATATAGGCTACTTTGTTTCATAAAGTGCAAAAAAAGACATTTTTGTTTTTAAAAGCCCCTAAGGGGTTCAAACAATAGGCCCCCCCATTTCAACAAATGAGGTTTTTTTAGACTAGAAGAGTTCTGCCTTTTAAGACAGGAAAGTATAGCAGTTAAAGTTGCTACTTGAGGAAATACTGAACCATAGAGATAAAAATAGCCCTGTGGTTCAAATTATAAATTGTATTTGGAATAAAAATGAGAGAACTAGGGGTGCTAAAAAACACATCCTCCAAAGACAGATATTTACATGGGAATGTGGCAGATAATTAATTGACATATTACTGATCTTGCTGGATTTTATTCTGCTTTACTTCCATAAATTGCAGGATCTTTACTTTATCTTTGCCAGAAGATTTAAACTTTAAAAGCCTTGCCCTCATAATTTGCAAGTTAATTTATTTATAAAGAAAATATAAACGCTGCTTAAGCTAATTCAAATGAAATTAAAAGTAAAATAAGTAGCCAACCTTTTCACCGTCTGTAACCTACTAACACGGTAAGGAAAGCATCAGATGAGCTACCTGAGAAACTAACGTTACGTTTCCCCACTTTAAAACCAAACAAACATGGCCGCTCACCCTGCTGATCAGCTCTCTTCACTGCCATCGAAGGCTCCAACGTGTTTCCTTTTCAGGTGCTGCATCATAACAGCGGTGCTTCCGTGCCATGTTCATTTGTTTTTACAAAAGTTGCATGTTACGACTTTTTTCGCTTTACAAAGCGCAGGCTGTCTGCGAATTGAGACGCAGCTTGCGTTTGCGCTATCGGTCAATAGAGCGCTGGCTCGCGCTGCCGTATTTTTTTTTTCTAGCAGTGATGACGACGGCGGCGGATGACGCATTAATCGCACGACACAACTAATCGATGATGAAATTCGTTGCCAACGCTTTTAAAAGTCGATTTTTATCGATTCGTTGTCGCAGCCCTAATATGAACCCTAACGACACCCTTAGCATTAGGTTAAAGATGATGAGTCTTCATTTGTATAGAACCCCTCATATTCATAGCTTATTTTTGAGAAAGTTGTGTTTTTTAATTACAGGCTATCAGGTTGTCAGATTACAGAGGAAGGGTGTGCGTCACTGATCTCAGCTCTAAGCGCCAACCCCTGTCACCTGACCGAGCTGGACCTCAGCTACAATGACCTTGGAGAAAGTTCTGCTGGCCTAAAGTCCACCAAACTGGAAACTCTGAGGTATTTTCAGACACCAACAATTTGAGTCGAGTCGTGGAGTTAGCCACAAAGATGGAGAGGAGGCGAGGAACAGCAGGAAGACTTGTTGAAGGTCAATAGCGACCTTTTCTGGTTAATTATTTATTTCCATTTTCCTACAGGGTGGACCACAGTGGAGAGCAATGGTTAACCCCTAGTCTACGGAAATGTAAGTTATGATGAAATAATAAATTTCATACACAAAAAAACCCCAAAAAACTTAATTTGTTTCTCTCCATCAGACTTCTGTGAACTTTTGTTTGACACAAACACGATAAACACGAACCTGAAGCTGTCCGACGACCAGCGGATGGTGACGGTGTTGGAGGAGGAGCAGCCGTATCCGGACCACGGAGACAGATTCAGTTGGTGGCAGCTAATGTGCAGAAACGGGATGACTGGTTGCTCCTACTGGGAGGTGGAGTGGAAGGGAAGGGTTCATATTTCCGTCAGTTACAGAAGTATCAAGAGGAGAGGATTCAGAACCGACTGCAGGTTTGGAGAGAACGATAAGTCCTGGAGTTTGAGCTGCTCTGATACTGTTGGGTACTCCGTCTGGCACAACAACACCGTTACGACCATCTCCTTTTCCTCGCCCTCATCCTCCACAGTGTCCAACAGAATCGCTGTCCATTTGGACTTCCCAGCTGGATCTCTGTCCTACTATAAAGTTTGCTCCGGCAGGCTTATCCACCTACACACTGTAAACACCACATTCAAAGAACCAGTTTATCCTGGATTCGGGTTCTGGTCTTATGGTTCCACATTGAAACTCTGTTCGTATGAAAACTGCAAGTCTTTGGAAGCAGCTTTGAGTGTAAACTGAAGTGTTAGATTATGAATATCTATATAAATGTGTCATATTAGTTATACCATGTTTGACTTTTGCTAAAATGTAAAACTAATTATAGATTGTTACATATAGAATACTGAAGATTTTATAGCATGCACTGCTTGATGTGTACCAGCCTGCATATAGTAAAGGTTTGTTCAATTAACCACATTATCTTTCAGCTGTTACTGAAAATGGTTCCTGAAATGGAAATATGTTCACTTCCATTAGCATGTTAGCTAACACGTACTACCTTTGTAATATACTTATTTAAACATCGGCAAAGATGTGTGAATATTGCTATGTGTAATGACGACTGTTTCTAGTTTATTAGAAGTAAAACCTGCTTTTTTTTCAACGTCTCCCACTTAGAAGTCATGGAGGAAATTGTCGTTGTAGGTGCGTGTCCACTGTGAGAGACACAATCTAAGAAAAAAGAAAATCGATACATATCCAGCTGTAATTTAGTTCATAACACTAGTTATCTATATATTATATTCATTTATTAGTAAGATTCTGTTTATAATGGTATTCATCTCTATAGTTATTCAGTAGAACCCATGTCCTGTATTTATAGAACCATTATTTATCCTGCACTTGCTGCTATTGCACTTCTGGTTGGACCTAAACTGCATTTCGTTGCCTTGTACCTGTACCTGTGCAATGACAATAAAGTTGAATCTAATCTGATCTGATCTAATCTTCCGAGTTTTCTCCTTGGTTTGTCAGACTGGTCCCATTGTCCTCCTTTGTTTATGCTGCAGTCTGGTCCAAGCTGAGTTCTTCCCTTCCAGATCTCTTCACTACTCCTTCCTCAAGCGGTAATCAAGAGCTTATCCTTCAGACGCTACCATCATTCTGTTCACCCTGCATTGACTCTAGCACAACTAAACTCAATCAGCCACTCAGTAAACCTAGAGACCCACCTCCATCGAGAGGGGTCTGGCTGCAGACCTGCACTGCAAGGACCTGGAGCTGCACTGTCAGGACCCGGAGCTGCACTGTCAGGACCCAGAGCTGCACTGTCAGGACCCAGAGCTGCACTGTCAGGACCCAGAGCTGCACTGTAAGGATCCAGAGTTGCACTGTAAGGACCAAGAGCTGCACTGTCAGGACCCGGAACTGCACTGTCAGGACCCGGAGCTGCACTGTAAGGATCCAGAGTTGCACTGTAAGGATCCAGAGTTTCACTGTAAGGATCCAGAGTTGCACTGTAAGGACCAAGAGTTGCACTGTCAGGACCAGGAGCTGCACTGTCAGGACCCGGAGCTGCACTGTCAGGACCCAGAGCTGCACTGTCAGGACCCAGAGCTGCACTGTCAGGACCCGGAGCTGCACTGTAAGGATCCAGAGTTGCACTGTAAGGACCAAGAGCTGCACTGTCAGGACCCGGAGCTGCACTGTCAGGACCAGGAGCTGCACTGTAAGGATCCAGAGTTGCACTGTAAGGATCCAGAGTTTCACTGTAAGGATCCAGAGTTGCACTGTAAGGACCAAGAGTTGCACTGTCAGGACCAGGAGCTGCACTGTCAGGACCCGGAGCTGCACTGTAAGGATCCAGAGTTGCACTGTAAGGACCAGGAGTTGCACTGTCAGGACCAAGAGCTGCACTGTCAGGACCCGGAGCTGCACTGTCAGGACCCGGAGCTGCACTGTAAGGATCCAGAGTTGCACTGTAAGGACCAAGAGCTGCACTATAAGGACCAAGAGTTGCACTGTCAGGACCTGGAGCTGAACTGTCAGGACCTGGAGCTGCACTGTCAGGACCCGGAGCTGCACTGTAAGGATCCAGAGCTGCACTGTAAGGATCCAGAGCTGCACTGTAAGGACCAAGAGTTGCACTGTCAGGACCCGGAGCTGCACTGTAAGGATCCAGAGTTGCACTGTAAGGACCAAGAGTTGCACTGTCAGGACCAGGAGCTGCACTGTAAGGACCCGGAGCTGCACTGTAAGGACCCAGAGCTGCACTGTCAGGACCAGGAGCTGCACTGTCAGGACCCGGAGCTGCACTGTCAGGACCCAGAGCTGCACTGTCAGGACCCGGAGCTGCACTGTCAGGACCCGGAGCTGCACTGTAAGGATCCAGAGTTGCACTGTCAGGACCCGGAGCTGCACTGTCAGGACCCGGAGCTGCACTGTCAGGACCCGGAGCTGCACTGTCAGGATCCAGAGTTGCACTGTCAGGACCAGGAGCTGCACTGTCAGGACCCGGAGCTGCACTGTCAGGACCCGGAGCTGCACTGTCAGGACCCGGAGCTGCACTGTCAGGACCCGGAGCTGCACTGTCAGGACCCGGAGCTGCACTGTCAGGACCCGGAGCTGCACTGTCAGGACCTGGAGCTGCACTGTCAGGACCTGGAGCTGAACTGTCAGGACCAGGAGCTGCACTGTCAGGACCCGGAGCTGCACTGTCAGGACCCAGAGCTGCACTATAAGGATCCAGAGCTGCACTGTAAGGATCCAGAGCTGCACTATCAGGACCCAGAGCTGCACTGTTAGGTCTCCTGCAGTGTTAGAATCTGAAATTTATTTGAAGACTTTCAAAGTTTCCAGTCTCACAAACAAGTGTTATTATACTAAAAACGTATGTGCATGCTCAATGTTACCCCCCACCAAACTAACTGAAATAATAGATATCTGCTATATAGAAATAAATCTCTGCATTTAGATCGCTGAATGGAAAAGGGCATTTGGTCAATTTGGTCATTAAGACAGAAAAAAGAAAGAAAATAACAAACGCTCAGTTCAGGGGTTTTATAAAGAAAGTGAGTCAGGAAATAGTTTATATACCAAACTGAACGATTTTTGATCTCCAATTGAAAAAACACTTTGATATTAAAACGGAATCGTTTTCTATTTTTTAATATATATATATATATATATATATATATATATATATATATATATATATATATATATATATATATATATATATATATATATATATATATATATATATATATATATTTTTTTTTTTTTTTTTTTTTTTTTTTTTAAAAGTCAATGTACAACACGGATACATATACATTTTATTTTATTTTAGGGTTAAATTCTGTTTAAAGTAACAGATTATAATTAAAAATGTCTCTGGACCTTTACTGGTTGATTATTTACTTTATTTGGACCCCGCTGATTAATAATTAAACTATATCTATAATGAAATCTAAAGCGATGCTGCAAAATGTGAGAAAATTCAAGTGTATGAACCTTTAAAAAGCAATAATAAAAAAAAAAAGAAAACATTTCTGCTTCTCCATTACAAGTCAAAATTAAAGCTCCCTCTAGTGGTGAAACCCATAGAAATACAGGTCAGACTGGTTTTTCATCTCTTCTGAACTTTCAAGTTGAGGTTTCTTTTAAAATTCCCATAGACTCCACGACTGATGAGGGCACACAGCAACTTTCTCTTCTGGAGGGATTTTCTACACTATTCTAGATCCTCAGTTATACTGGAAGTTCAAAAGGTGAGAAATAATTGCTGAAAAATCTTCTATCTGTCTATATTTTTAATCATTCTTTAGAGCTTTTATTGTTTCTGATCATTGAAGGCATTGATTTAACCTGTACTGAAAAACATCCCTATAAAAAGTTTATAATTCTCTAATAATTTATTTGTTTTACTGTTGATTATTTATGCTTTCATGGTTACTCAAAACCGAAGCAGTTTTTTATTAGTTATATATTAACTATTTATGAGTCACTAGAGAAAAATGCAGGAAGTGTCAAACCAGGAAAGGAGCAGACCGGTTTGAGTTTATTTTAAGCAATGCAATCTCCTCTTCACTGTTGAATAATATTTTGGGTAAATAATCTCGGTTTGGAGCAGTTGGAGTCGTTGAGGTTGTTCTGAACACCGACTCTCCAGAGCGGCTGTCTCTGTGAAACCTCTGCTATGGAGCAGCCAGGGCCAACAGGGCAACCTGAGGCCCAGGCCAAACCTCAGAGGTAAGATATTCCTTTCTAACTGTCAACAGTAGATATTTTTCACATCACAGCTCAGGACCCACTTTATTTAGCCATCATTATTTCATATCCTCAGCTCTGCGTCCTCTGACCAGGTGTCTGTCAGAAGTCTTCGACTTTTATTTGAACTTCCTGCTGATGGAAGGTGATTTCTCTCTATGTTTCTATGTTTTACATTCCTAAAGATATGCAGGGTGGTTTTTCTATTTATTAGGGTTGCCAACTGTCCCTTGAAAAACTGAATCTTTCTGTATTTAGAAATAGAAGTACCTGTCCCGTATTTAGTAGAGAAGGAACGCACTTTATCCCATCTTATCAGCAGTCGAGTTGTAAAAATAAAAATGAGGGGGATTTTTTTTTGGAAGCATACATAGCCTAATTAATGTATTCTATTGACCTAAAGCAACATGCACAGTCTGGTGCTAATTCAAATCATGTTATCTGAAGTTGCTTTACAGACAATTCTATGGATGTGGTGTTTTATATATATATATATGTATGGATTTTTCTGTTCTGACGCAGTGAAACTGAACTTGTTCAGATCATATTGCACATCACTGTATACGGCACATTTGTGGTGCAACTTTAAAATAGCCAGTCTGCATAAGTTGAAGGTGGCTTATAATGATGCACTAAGACTTTTGTTAAATAAGCCCAGATGGACCAGTGCCAGTGAATTCTTTGTATCTGTTAGTGTCAGGAGTATTATGGCTGTTTTGAGAAAGCTTATGTATAAATTTATTTGTCGTCTAAATGAGTCTGATGACCAATGTCAAATATAGTGCAGTTAAATATTCGTCTGTGCTTTGGAGACATTGGTATGACTGCCTCCTGAAGGGGTAGGCACCTTCTCTGTTGTACTTTTATTCTTTTTTTATTCTTAGTGTATCTGTTTTCTTTTAATGTATATTGGACCTTGAGTCTGTAATAATAATAATAAAAAAAAAATATGGACTTGAAGTCCCAAGGTCAAAATGGAAGACACCTCCTAAGGTAGTTGAGAATGACCGAGCTAAGATCCTGTGGGATTTCAAGATCCAGACTGACAAACAGGTGATGGCTAACCAACCAGACATCGTGTTGATCGACAAGCAGCAGAAGAAGGCAGTAGTGATAGATGTGGCAATCCCAAGCGACAGCGACATCAACCAACCACATCAGCAGATGGACCAGTGCAATGTCCTTTTAGCCGCCAATGACTTCCATTGTTTTATTAATTTACTGATGAATTTCAATATAACTCTAGTATCAACTTCATAGTCATTAATTCACATAACAGCTATAAAGAGGTTTTACTACCAGCAATCCAATTTGAACTTGGACCTGGTAAAAAGATAAAAAATCGAGACAAGTAAAATTATCTGTTGGTTAAATTATTTAAGGATGGTTTAAACCTAATATTAATGTTTGAAAACAGTGATAGAAACATTTCTCACTCTTATTTTCTGTGTTTCTACCAGCGGGGATCGGCAGAGACTACCTCTGTCTCCAAGCAGCTGTGTTTCTATGAGGGGTGACAGGTCAATGGATCCGATCACTGTGTTTAAAGAAGGACTCCAGTCTAAACATAAAATGTAAGAATTAACAACAAAATCACCATTTTTTTATCTATGAAAAACATTATCAGGGATGTAAATTAATTTCTTGGACTTGGAGCTGAGAAAGAAGAAGTAAAAACAAGGATTTTTAAAGAAACATGTCTGTAAGACAGAATCTGTGAAGAATGAGTTTAAGATATATGCAGTCCATGTGCAGTCTATGTGCAGTCCATGTGCAGTCTATATGCTGTCAATGTGCAGTCCATATGCAGTCTATGTACAGCCCATGTGCAGTCTATGTGCAGTCTTTGTGAAGTCCATGTGCAGTACATGTGCAGTGCATGTGCAGTCCATGTGCAGTCTATGTGCAGTCTATGTGCAGTCTATGTGCAGTCTTTGTGAAGTCCATGTGCAGTCTATGTGCAGTCTATGTGCAGTCTTTGTGAAGTCCATGTGCAGTACATGTACAGCCCATGTGCAGTCTATGTGCAGTCTTTGTGAAGTCCATGTGCAGTACATGTGTAGTACATGTGCAGTCCATGTGCAGTCTATGTGCAGTCTATGTGCAGTCTATGTGCAGTCTATGTGCAGTCTTTGTGAAGTCCATGTGCAGTCTATGTGCAGTCTATGTGCAGTCTTTGTGAAGTCCATGTGCAGTACATGTACAGCCCATGTGCAGTCTATGTGCAGTCTTTGTGAAGTCCATGTGCAGTACATGTACAGCCCATGTGCAGTCTATGTGCAGTCTTTGTGAAGTCCATGTGCAGTCTATGTGCAGTCTATGTGCAGTCTCTGTGAAGTCTATGTGCAGTCTATGTGCAGTCTATGTGCAGTCTATGTGCAGTCCATGTGCAGTCTATGTGCAGTCTGTGTGCAGTCTTTGTGAAGTCTATGTGCTGTCTATGTGCAGTCTATGTGCAGTCTATGTGCAGTCTATGTGCAGTCTTTGTGAAGTCCATGTGCAGTACATGTGCAGTACAAGTGCAGTCCATGTGCAGTCTATGTGCAGTCTATGTGCAGTCTATGTGCAGTCTTTGTGAAGTCCATGTGCAGTCTATGTGCAGTCAATGTGCAGTCTTTGTGAAGTCCATGTGCAGTACATGTACAGCCCATGTGCAGTCTATGTGCAGTCTTTGTGAAGTCCATGTGCAGTACATGTACAGCCCATGTGCAGTCTATGTGCAGTCTATGTGCAGTCTTTGTGAAGTCTATGTGCAGTCTATGTGCAGTCTATGTGCAGTCTATGTGCAGTCCATGTGCAGTCTATGTGCAGTCTGTGTGCAGTCTTTGTGAAGTCTATGTGCAGTCTATGTGCAGTCTATGTGCAGTCTATGTGCAGTCTTTGTGAAGTCCATGTGCAGTCTATGTGCAGTCTATTTGCAGTCTTTGTGAAGTCCATGTGCAGTCTATGTGCAGTCTTTGTGAAGTCTATGTGCAGTCTATGTGCAGTCTTTGTGAAGTCCATGTGCAGTCTATGTGCAGTCTGTGTGCAGTCTTTGTGAAGTCTATGTGCAGTCTATGTGCAGTCTATGTGCAGTCTGTGTGCAGTCTTTGTGAAGTCCATGTGCAGTCTATGTGCAGTCTATGTGCAGTCTCTGTGAAGTCCATGTGCAGTCTATGTGCAGTCTATGTGCAGTCTTTGTGAAGTCTATGTGCAGTCTATGTGCAGTCTTTGTGAAGTCCATGTGCAGTACATGTACAGCCCATGTGCAGTCTATGTGCAGTCTATGTGCAGTCTTTGTGAAGTCTATGTGCAGTCTATGTGCAGTCTATGTGCAGTCTTTGTGAAGTCCATGTGCAGTCTATGTGCAGTCTTTGTGAAGTCCATGTGCAGTCCATGTGCAGTCTATGTGAAGTCCATGTGCAGTCCATGTGCAGTCTATGTGCAGTCTTTGTGAAGTCTATGTGCAGTCTATGTGCAGTCTATGTGCGGTCTAATGGTGGGTTCAGATCAAACGTTCTCTGGGTGTCCAATTCGCTTGAACACCAAACGCCAATCAAGACGCTTTGACACTGGATCCTCGATGCTCCGTTTGTTGAGCTGCTCTGTTCTGTCATTGCGATCTTGTTTTATTAATTTACTGATGAATGTCAATATAAAAAATCAAGACGAGGAAAATTTATCTGTTGGTTGAATTATTTAAGGATGGCTTAAACCTAATATTAATGCTTGAAAACAGTGATAGAAACATTTCTCACTCTTATTTTCTGTGTTTCTACCAGCGGGGATCGGCAGAGACCACCTCTGTCTCCAAGCAGCTGCGTTTCTATGAGGAGTGACAGGTCAATGGATCCGATCACTGTGTTTAAAGAAGGACTCCAGTCTAAACATAAAATGTAAGAATTAACAACAAAATCAACATTTTTTTATGTATGAAAAACATTATCAGGGATGTAAATTAATTTCTGGGACTTGGAGCTGAGAAAGAAGAAGTAAAAACAAGGATTTTTAAAGAAACACGTCTGTAAGAAAGAATCTGTGAAGAATCAGTTGAAGGTATGTGTGGTCTATGCGGCTATTTGCAATCTGTGCAGTCTGTGTGCAGTTTCTTTTGGATCTATGTGTGGTCTATGTGCAGTCCATTTGCAGTCTATGTGCAGTCTTTGTGTGGTCTCTTTGCAGTCCATTTGCAGTCTTTAGGCCGGATCTATCAAAGGTTTGCGTGTATAAAAACGTGAGCTATTTCACTGCACACGCTAAAAAATGTACAAACTGATCTATCAACAGCGTGCTAAAAGGATTTGGTCTTTAAAACGTGCTAAATAGTGCCTCTTATCCATTTAGTACTTTTTCTGCAATGAATATGCAATATGGGGCGTTTACACGCAAAAGTGCGTCTTGTGGGAGGAGAACATGTAAATATATTAATTTAGCACTCGCAAAGTGATTTATTAAACTTGAAAGCAATTTTGCTAACGGTATCTGACTCTATATTTAACACGTTTCAAAAAGAAGGTGCAAATGGTCTGTATGCGTAATTGCGCACACATGGCAGCGGTTATTGTCGCAAGAAGGAGACATGGAAATGAAGCAAGGAGACGCAGAGAACGCATTTTTTCACTCCGTGTGAATATTTTTGGAATGAACGAGGAAACGATCATCAAAACATATCGTTTATCCAGCATTGCCATTTTGGAGCTGCAATTCCAGTGATCCTCACAGAGCGTCAGCTGTACTTGTTCCTCAATGCTGGTCAGAGGCATCTCATCTACTGTGCCCCCTCCTGCTTTGTTCGCAGATGTTTTGTTATATGCCAGTTTTTCTTTGGTTCGCCTTCTAATATCCTGGTATCTTCTTTTTACTTCATCCACTGTTCGCAAGGTTTCACCAACAGCGTTTACTTTATTACAGATTTGTTCACATATAGCGTTCCTCTGTGTGACAGGCACACTTCTTTGCTGTAGCTCACTTAAATGTTTGTTGGCTTCATCCACCAACACCTCCATTTCCATGGGGTCAAATTTCCTTTTGCGCTTTCTGCTGTCCAAACTCGCCATGCCGCAAACCACAAAATGCACAAAACCATCATTTAAATAGGGCGTCTCCAACAGTTTTGCACTTGCCACCAGTTACGCAATCGCTCTTGTTAAATCACCCAAATCAATATTTATATTCTCATAAAAATCTTAACTGATAAACAAGTATAGACAGTAGCTACATTAACACATTAAAATCTATGTGTTATTTGATCAAGCATGACCTCGGTCTCTGGGAAACAACCCTATCTACCAAAATAAAGCTGGCAGAAAGATGGCTTAGAATGGGGAATTGAACTTTATTGATCTAATTTAACTCTAAATTTAACCCCTCCCCTTGGGGAGCAGTGGGCTGCCATTTTGCAGCGCCTGGGGAGCAGCGTGGGGTTAAGGGTCTTGCTCAGGAACCCAGAGTGGAGCTTGTGGGGATCTAACCTGGTAACCCTCTAACCGAATAGACCAACACTTCCCCAGACCCATTTATAACTTTAACAGACTCTGCTTGACCTTAAACTGTTCCGTTATCTTGCAGCAGATGCATATTAAATATTTATTGTTGATTTATGACAGTAGTAATCAGAAGAGCCCAGAATCGCCTCCAACCAGCTGTGTTTCCCTGAAGAGTGATCGTTCCATGGATCCAATAACCGTGTTCAAAGACAACGACCAGCATGAACATGAAGGGTGAGAATATAATGCTCTGAGTTGGTTTCAATGTTAAATAATCTCTTTAATTTCTTTTTTGATTTTCTGCTCAGATTATCAAACTGATCACTACCATAATATGCATTGATGTTTGTTTCTCCCTTGAACAATGTGCAGAAACCTGGCTTCTATACTGCCAGCTGCATGTCCCTGAAAACTGACTGGGACACGATTCCTAAAACTGTCTCCAAAGCTGGACACCAGCTTATTGGAAGGAGAGTAAGAATAAAAAAAGATTAAGTTTCTTTTAAAACCTTCCCAAGGATTTTTTTTTTCAGGAAGCGGATTAGATTTATTTTTTATTTTTTATTCAGTCTTTGTTTCTGGGCATAAATGAAGAAAATACATAAATTACTATCACACTTTTTTATGGCCTCAACATGACAACTAAATTAAATATAATTTCTCAAAATGGTTTGTTTTCATATGAAAAGTGTTAATTGTCATAATTATATTCAAAAGTCTGACCCCAAAATGCAGAAGACCAAACAGAGAGAGCAGGGAAACGTTTGAACAGCTTTATTTGGAATAATGGTGATGAAACCAGTGCTGCTCAGACCGGAACTGGAAGGTGAGGGGAAGACACTGTGGTTAGTTCAGGCTCAGTGGGAAATTTGAAATCTTTGTTTTTGAATAGGAGGAAAAGGGTGCAGACTCACTTCTCCAGGAAAAGGTGTCCTTTATGGAATCCTGTCTGTGAGGATTGTACCAGAGATTGTCCTGTTTGGTGATGGGCGGACTGGGTTACTCAGACAGCGATTGTTCCTTGGTGAATGGAGAAGTTGACTGCCACTCAGATCTCCTGTAGTACTTGAATGGGCTGTGGTGCAGAAGAAACCTTTGCTCGGTGTGAAGCTCAAACGGCCTCTTGGGGAAAGTGGATCCAAACTTCCTGTTTGGAGTGAACGGAGAAGCTGACTGCCACTCTGATTTCCTGCGGTACTTGAACAGGCTGCGGTGCAGATGAAGCCTTTGCTCGGTGTAAAGCTCAAACGAACTCTTGGGGAAAGTGGATCCAAACTTCCTGTTTGGAACCCCAGCTCAGTTAGAAGCTCAGTTGAACCTTCCAGAGAGAAAGGAAACACAAAAACAGACCACACAAACTGGATTCCTGACATTAATTAATTAACTGTAATACTCAGATGCAGAATTCCAGCATTTTTCAGGGAAATAGGACTCCTTTATTTCAATTCAGTTTATTTCTATAACGCCATTTCACAACACATGTCATGTCAAGGCACTTTATATTTCAATCAGGTCATCCAGTCAAATGCAATGTTTTCTATTTAAGGAAAACCAGTTGGTGGCATCGAATCATTGACTCTAAGGAATTCGCTCACACTAAGCATGCTTGTAGCGACAGTGGAGAGGAAAAACTCCCTTTTAACGGGAACATCAAAAAAGTTTAATAAAACTAAAATCTTCTAATATAGTAATTATTAAAAAGCATCCAAATCTGTTTGTAATAAATGCGGATATTTTGCCCGTACAACAACCTCTGCTTAAAGGGTAACCCCAAATTTACAATTAAACCCAGCTGGGCTGCAAACCTCTTCAATCTTCTACTCGTACTCGCCCTGAAGTAACGGGGAAGTAAGAACACAGCAACTCCATCCATGACTTTTTAAAACAGCTAAAACATCCTGACTTTTTTTTTAATTTGTATTTTTGGGCATTCAGACATTTTCAGAAGTTCTTTTTCTACAATTAGTGATTACACTGAATCCAGAGAAGCTGTATTGTTTCTTATAATTATGACAACATGGCTGACTAACCCAAGTGGTAAGTCACTATGGAGGTTGATCGGTCTCAATTTTCACAAATACACATATGTGATTCACGCATGCACGTCACATGCTTCGCCGAAGTATTTTTGGTCCATAAACAATTATAAATTAAATACCAAAGTACCAGAGTTCTTTAAACTTCACTGCATTTGTGTGTTGATTTTTGAGATTTTCATGACATGCCTCGATACACAATTTTTTTTTTAAACGGGATGGTTTGCAACCAATCACAGAGCTCCCTTGTATAAGCCAACACAAGAAAGTAATCCCCGTGGGCAGTGGTGTCAAAAGTTCACACATTTGTTACTTCAGTAGAAGTATAGATACTGCAGTTTAAAAACACTCTGGTAAAAGTTGAAGTATCAACTTGACCTCTTTACTCAAGTAAAAGTGAAAAAGTATGTGCTCCAGAAACTACTGAAAGTTTAAAAGTACAGGTGCTGGTCATAAAATTAGAATATCATGAAAAAGTAGATTGATTTCAGTAATTCCATTTAAAAAGTGAAACTTGTATATTATATTCATCCATTACATACAAACTCATATATTTCAGATGTTTATTTTGTTTAATTTTGATGATTACAAATGACAACAAATGAAAATCTCAAATTCATCATATCAGAAAATTAGAATATTACTGAAGACCAATAAAAACAAAGGATTTATAGAAATGTTGGCCAACTGAAAAGTATGAACATGAAAAGTATGAGCATGTACAGCTCTCAGTATTTAGTTGGGCCTCCTTTGGCCTGTATTACTGCAGCAATGCGGCGTGGCATGGAGTCGATCAGTCTGTGGCACTGCTCAGGTGTTATGATAGCCCAGGCTGCTCTAATAGTGGCTTTTAGCTCTTCTGAATTGTTGGGTCTGGTGTATTGCATCTTCTTCTTCACAATACCCCATAGATTTTCTATGGGGTTAAGGTCAGGAGAGTTTGCTGGCCAATTAAGAACAGGGATACCATGGTCCTTCAACCAGGTACTGGTAGCTTTGGCACTGTGTGCAGGTGCCAAGTCCTGTTGGAAAATGAAATCTCCATCTCCAAAAAGTTGGTCAGCTGCAGGAAGCATGAAGTGCTCTAAAACTTCCTGGTATGTGGCTGCGTTGACCCTGGACCTCAGAAAACACAATGGACCAACACCAGCAGATGACATGGCACCCCAAACCATCACTGACTGTGGAAACTTTACACTGGACTTCAAGCAACGTGGATGAAGTGCCTCTCTTCTTTTCCTCCAGACTCTGGGACCTTGATTTCCAAAGGAAATGCAAAATTTACTTTCATCAGAGAACATGACTTTGGACCACTCACCAGCAGTCCAGTCCTGTTTCTCTTTAGCCCAGGCAAGACGCTTCTGACGCTGTCTGTGGTTCAAGAGTGGCTTGACACAAGGAATGCGACAGCAGAAACCCATGTCTTTCATACGTCTGTGTGTGGTGGTTCTTGAAGCACTCACTCCAGCTGCAGTCCACTCTTTGTGAATCTCCCCCACATTTTTGAATGGGTTTTGTTTCACAATCCTCTCCAGGGTGCGGTTATCTCTCTTGCTTGTACACTTTTTTCGACCACATCTTTTCCTTCCCTTCGCCTCTCTATTAATGTGCTTGGACACTGAGCTCTGTGAACAGCCAGCCTCTTTAGCGATGACCTTTTGTGTCTTGCCCTCCTTGTGCAAGGTGTCGATGGTCGTCTTTTGGACAACTGTCAAGTCAGCAGTCTTCCCCATGATTGTGTAGCCTATAGAACTAGACTGAAAGACCATTTAAAGGCTTTTGCAGGTGGTTTGAGTTAATTAGCTGATTAGAGTGTGGCACCAGGGGCCATCAATTTTGAACCTTTTCACAATATTCTAATTTTCTGATATGATGAATTTGAGATTTGTTGTCATTTGTAATCATCAAAATTAAACAAAATAAACATCTGAAATATATGAGTTTGTATGTAATGTATGAATATAATATACAAGTTTCACTTTTTAAATGGAATTACTGAAATCAATCTACTTTTTCATGATATTCTAATTTTATGACCAGCACCTGTATAAAGTAACCTTTAAAAACCAGCCAGATGCCACTAGATGAATTGAAAGCTCAATTTTTGGACTATTTCTAATAATTCTCTGAGATAGGGCCAAGGATGAGGGAGGTCTTGTTGGTCTCCGTCTCCCGATACGCTCTCGCCTGTGTCCGACCTTTCAGACATTTCAACATCTTTTTCTGAATCCCACATTGTAGCATGGCAAAGACAATTCACGGTAGCAGTTTGAAGAACACCTGCTTGCTTCTGATGATTTCCTTTAGCTAACCAATGAGTGTTTGCGTTCTATGACTCATCCAATCACACTAGTTTTCACTCTATGTGGATGGAGCCAATGATCTGCATTGGATGGAGCACATGACGGGAAATAAATATTTAGAAACATTAAACCAAAGAGTAACGAGTAACATTTGTTTTAAAAATGTAAGGAATAGAAAGTACAGATACTTGTGTGAAAATGTAATGAGTAGAAGTCAGAAGTAGGAAGAAAAATAAGTAATAGAGAAAAGTATAGATACCTAAAAAGGGTACTTAAAGGCATACTATGCAACATTTTTCAGTTTATTAATGTGTTCCATAACGTTTTGGATGATTAAATGAGTCATTTCAGGTTGAACAAAGGTATTCTCGGCCGCCCTGGAGGTCTGTGGGGGAAATACCGCACTTGCAATTGCAGGAGCCCTCGGCCCGCACCCACAGGCTCAGAAGTCTCGCGAGAGTCGGTCTTGCTTTACGGCGAGAACTGCTACACGCCCCCAGTTAAAAGCATGCTCGTTGCTAGCACAGTGGCGATCTTTGTGCAGTTATCATGGTGGAACCAGCGAGGAAACAGCGAAAGGCCATGTCGGACACATGTAATGCGTATTAATGCTTTTAATACGCATTACATGGAGTTTCCTCTGTCTCTGCTCTCCTTACATCCAATCACGCTGTTTTATTTCGCGATTTAGTCAGGTTTGTGTCATAGTTTCTGGATAATTAAATTTCCTATTGGAGATGTGATTTATCTTTTGGTTTCATCCGTCAAAAACAGAATGGAATGGTTTCACGCTGCTGTTCTATCTAACTAGGAGTGAATTCTGTTTGTGCTAAAATGTCTTTTTGTTTTCTCAGATCTAAACAGCAGATGTTAAGAGGTGTTCCATGCTCCCCTGATCCTCAAACTGAACTGAACTCAATATTCAAGGTATTACAAATACTTAGATTCAACACCTTGTTTCCTCAAAAAATTGAATTTAAAAACGACAGCTGTCAATCAATAAATAATTAATTAGATCCACTTTAATCAGTTGCAGGGGAAATGTTAGGTTGTAAAATACAGTTTACTTTAATGATGGTTTTACTCATCCTATTTATAGTGATTAAGCCTCACTGATTTCTATCGTTGACTTCCTAGCACTGCTTGATGTAAGTCCGTGATTATTTTTTTTATTTGTTTCAGGCTCTAGAGGAAAACATCATCAGTTTTGTAAAGACAGAACTAAAGAAATTCCAAAATGTTATTGGACCAGATTACTATGAATGCTTAAGGTCCCGAGAAGAGAATGAAGAGCTGCTGGATGGAGAAGACGATGAAGACCGAGGGGCAATGAGTGGAGAGTCATTTCTGAAGCTTACGCTTGACTTTCTGCAGAGAATGAAACACAAGAAGCTGGCAGATTATCTACACGGCAGTAAGATTAAGATTAACATTTAAACGTGTTTAGAGAGACACTGGGGTAAAATAGAAGTAACTCTGAGGCTAAAAGAGTGGAAAAAATTGTTTTTGTTGGATTTTAACAGAAAGCGGAACTGAGGAAGTCTCAACAAGAGAGAAACAAATGCTCCAAAATGGCCATTTCTTTAGTCCACTTTCTAGCCACAATAATAGTACAGTTTTGAGAAGTAAAAATTACTAACACATAAAAACTTTGCTGCAGCTATCAGGCATGACAGTGTAAGTATCATGCTTGGGGCTGTTTGCTAATAGTGGTAATGTTGCATTCCAAAAAAACTTGCTGGAACAATACATTTGTTTTGAAGTTAACATTTATATGGTTAAAATCTAGACATTACTGAGTGCTTCAACATGCTTAAAACCCCAAAAATGGTGGATTTGAAAAATCTCTCAGAAAGCTTCAATAAAAAAAAACCCTCAACCAATTCAAATCAGCTCAACAGCTCTGAAATTAAAAGAATACATTGATGCTTTTAAGTTTACTGTCTTCAGACTGCAGGTGTTTTCACTGCTAGATTAGAGAAATCTTTGAAATTAATATCCAAGAAATAGTATTGATTTCCTAAAATATTCATCCATCAAGAAGAATAGCCGTACTTGTTCCAGGGTTTTGTTTAGGTTAAAGGAAAATCTTCTTCTCTCAATCTTCTTATTTTTTGACTTTTTACAGGAGCTTCTGCAACAGAGTATCAGAAAAAACACAAATCGAACCTAAAGAAGAGATTCCAGTGTGTCTTTGAAGGAATTGCTAAAGGAGGAAACCCCACCTTATTAAACCAGATCTACACAGAGCTCCACATTACAAAGGGAGGAACCGGGGAGGTTAATGAAGAACACGAGGTCAGACAGATCGAAACGACCTCCAGAAAGCTAGACTACCCTGAAACGATCAGAAAGGAGGACATCTTTAAGCCTCGTCATGAAAAAGCTCAACCAATCAGAACAGTTCTCACCAAAGGAGTCGCAGGCATTGGGAAGACCTTCCTAACACAGAAGTTCACTCTGGACTGGGCTGAAGACAAAGCAAATCAGGATATTCACTTTACTTTCCCATTTACCTTCAGAGAACTCAATCTGCTAAAAGACAAAAAAATAAGTTTGGTGAAACTTATTCATCACTTCTTCCCAGAAATCAAAGACATCAGCAATTTGGATCAATTTAAGGTTCTGTTGATCTTTGATGGTCTGGATGAGAGTCGATTTCCTCTGGACTTTCACAGCCAGGATATCATGACGGATGTTACGGAGTCTGCTTCAGTGGACATTCTGCTGTTAAACCTGATCAGGGGGAAGCTTCTTCCATCCGCTCTAATCTGGATAACATCAAGACCTTCAGCGGCCAATCAGATCCCTCCTCAGAATGTGGATTTGGTGACAGAAGTTAGAGGATTCTCAGATTCTCAAAAGGAGGAGTACTTTAGAAAGAGGTTTAAAGATAAGAGGAAAGCCAACCTGATCGTCTCCCACATCAAATCCTCACGTAGCCTTCACATCATGTGCTACATCCCAGTTTTCTGCTGGATCAATGCTACAGTCTTAGAGGATGTGCTAAAGGTAAGACAAGAAGCAGAGCTGCCCAAGACTTTGACCGAGATGTACATCCACTTCCTGGTGGTTCAGACCAAGATTAAGAAGGTCAAGTATGATAAAGGCGTAGAAACGGATCCACACTGGGGACCAGAGAGTAAGACAATGATCGAGTCTCTGGGCAAACTGGCTTTTGATCAACTGCAGAAAGGAAACCTGATTTTCTACGAAGCTGACCTGAGGGATTGTGGCATCGATATCACAGAAGCCTCATTGTACTCTGGAGTGTTCACGGAAATCTTTAAAGAGGAGAAAGGACTGTACCAGAGCAAGGTCTTCTGCTTCATCCATCTGACCGTTCAGGAGTTCCTGGCTGCTCTTTATGTCCACCTGACCTTCGTTAACTCTGGACTTAATCCGATGATGGAAAAACAAAATACATCAGAAAGAGGTGAACGCAGAGCTGCAGCAATCCAACTTCACCAGCATGCTATCGACAAAGCTTTACAATCTGCGATTGGTCACCACGACATGTTCCTTCGCTTTCTGTTAGGACTTTCTCAGCCAGAAAATCAAAACCTCCTACTCGGCCTGCAGGCACATAAACCGAGCATCTCACAAAGCAACCAAGACACAATCCAGTACATCAAGAAGAAAATCGTTAGTGATATTTCTGTTGAGAAAAGCATCAATCTGTTCCAATGTCTGAATGAGATGAATGACCGTTCTCTTGTGGAGGAGATCCAACAGTACCTGAGATCAGGAAGCCTCTCCACGGGTAAACTCTCTACGGCTCAGTGGTCGGCTCTGGTCTTTATCTTATTGACTTCAGACGAAGACTTGGCTCTGTTTGACCTAAAGAAATATTCTGCTGAAGAAGACACTCTTCTAAAACTGCTTCCAGTGGTCAAAGCCTCGACCAGAGCCCTGTAGGTAGAGAGAACATTTCAGATATTTCATCTCTTATATTACAAACAGCTTTTAGTTGTATTTTCTTTGTTTTTCTTTCCCCCAGACTGAGTGGCTGTAACCTCTCTGTCAGAAGTTGCGAAGCTCTGTCTTCAGTTCTCAGCTGTCAGTCTTCCAGCCTGAGAGAACTGGATCTGAGTAACAACAAGCTGCAGGACTCAGGAGTAAAAAAACTTTCAGCTGGATTGGAAAGTCCCAACTGTAAACTGGAGAGCCTTAGGTTAGAATACAAATGGTTTATGTCAAACCTTTGGGTGAAGCGAATTTTTAGATCAATTCAAATCTTTTTCCATATATAACCCTCAGCCTTACAGGTTGCCTGATCACAGAGGAAGGCTGTGCATCTCTCGCCAAAGCTCTGAGCTCTAACCCGTTCCACCTGAAAGAGCTGGACCTCAGCTACAATCACCCAGGGGACTCAGGAGTGATGCTTCTGTCTTCTAGGGTGGAAGATCCACACTGCAAACTAGAAATCCTCAGGTATGCGGTTAGAATCCTTTTCTGTTTCCAGATTTAATTTAAATAGTACGATAGAGTATTAGGGCCAGGTTAGAGATTTTTAAAATGTTTTTATTGTCGTGATCTTTTTCGGCAATCTGACCCACATGCAGGAAACCACTCAGAGAAACCAGGGGAAGGTTTAACAGGTTTTATTGAAAACAAGTCGAGATGGGTCCAGTGTTACTCTGAACGCAAGTGAACCGGCACTAGAAAGTAAGAGGGGAAGTTCAGTGTTTAGTTCAGGCTCGTTGGGAAATTTGAGCAACAATTTGCAAAGCAGAAACAGCAACTGGACTCACGTTTCTAGAAATTGTGTCTTTCCACGAATCCAGTCGGTGTGGGTTGTTCCAGAAATTGGTTAGCTCGTTGGAGGGCGGACAGGGTTTACCCAGGTTAAGTTGGTTCCTTGAGGAGCGGTGGAGCGGACTGCCACTTAGATTTCCTGTGGTACTTGAACGGTTCTTGTGGAGATGAATCCCCTGCTCAGTATGAAGCTCAAGACAATTCTTCCAGAGGGAGAAGGCCCAAACATCCAGTTTGCAGGATGACTTCCTGCCGAGACGCAAAGACAAAAACAACAAGGTTAAGACTCAGGGAGACAAAAACTCAGCTTGGCTAGTGTACCCAAAACTACAAACACTCTGGTGTCGAGCTAGTGACAGTCAGCAGCTTAAGAGTCTTCAGGTAATGAGGCAACCGTCCGCAGGTGTGTGAAAGGGCCAATGAGAACCGGGCGCCACCTGAAGGTGGAGGGAGATAACACAAACACACAACCCACACAACTGGATTCTTGAGATTTATTTTGAGAACAAAGTCGTAACATTACGAGAAAAAAGTTCTAATATTACTTAAATAAAGTCGTAACGATGACGATTATGAGAACGAAGTCATCAAACTACAACCGGTTTCAGAAAGAAAGCTTGTAACTCCGCCCAGCAGATGACAGTCGACCAGCTCCACCAATCAGCAACCTGAGTCCACTTTGATATCCTGCCCAGTTTGATGCTGGTGCCAAAATATTTGCTTATTTGTAAAACCAATGCAAAAGTACTTCACATGATGCTCCACATTCCTCATTTTAGGAAAGAAAGTGCTTCTTGTAGAAATTGTCATAAAATACAACTTTTTTCTTGTAATTTTAGGACTTTATTATCTTAATATTAAGGCTTAATACTTCTTATTGTAATGGATATTCTTGTGACTTTTTTCTCGTAATATTACAACTTTATTCTCGTAATTTTAAGACTATTCTCTTAATTTTACAACTTTATCTTTGATATAGAAGAAAAAAAATCTCTAGCCTGGCCCTAATAATGTCAGGATTTGATTATTGAGTGTTTACCCAAAAGCAGAGGCTGAGAGACAGAGGTGAATCTGTTGTGGATTTAATAATGACTAAACAGAAACAGAGGCTGGTTATCCAAAAGTCCAAAAGGAAAACAAAGTCCAAACAAACATGAAACCAGAAGTCCAAAAATCAAAAAATCAAAAACATGAAAACTAGTCTAACATACCAGAAACCATGGAGACATCAGGGGAATCACAAACATAACGAGGAAGGCACAGAGAGAAGGAGTTTGGAGCATGTAGACGGTGTTTGTCGAGGACCCAGCAAAGGGGAACTGAAGAGAGAGGGCTTTTTAAAGGAGACTGAGACAAAGAGGGGGCTAATGAGGAAACTGGGAGCAGGTGTGCACAGAACAATAGAGGGAAAGAGCTAGGGAAGAAGGAGAACACAAGAGGGCAGCAGAGAGCAACAAATAGAAACCTGGAAGACTGGAAATAACAACAAAATGATAATCAAATAACTAGGAATATAAAACATGGTGAAAAGAAAACTAAACACTAGAAATCAAGGAGTAAAGTAACACTGAATGCTCAAAAGAAAAACATAACAGAAACAGAAACCTAGCAAATAATCGTAAAAAGTCGTAAAATAGTCGCCCTGTTAGTAGTAAAATTTTCTCGATAAAAGAATGTATATGTATCAGAGGTGTCAAAAGTATTGTTTATTATTCAGGTAGAAGTATAAATCTTACAGTTTAAAAATATTTTGTTGAAGTTAGAGTATAAGCTTAAGCTTTTTATACTCAAGTAAAACTGTAAAAGTTCTATTTTTAAAACTGCTTAAAATATAAAAGTAAAAGTAATGCAGGGAAAGACAGACCAGACCAGACCAGTTAAAGATTAGAAGATTTATATACAAGGTTCAACAGAAGACCAAACCCGCTGTTTATTTCATATGGAAGGAAGGTGTCAGAATTCTGCCTTCAAGCTTGTTTGGCCGTTGTTGGAAAGAGCTGGAGAGGAGGTTTGGATCCTGTGACAATTGTCCTGGTTCCAGTACAATATGGTACTGGTAAACACCAGTACCATATTGTACTGGTGTCATAAATGTCACAGTTATGTCACAGTTATGTTTCTAATTAGTAACATAAATATAACGTAAATGTAAAAGTCTATATTTTTGTGACAGAAAACCTTTAACGCTAAAAGTCCAGTAGATACATAGAGAATTTATTTATTCACTTGTTTCTGTGTTTTTTTTAACCTTTCAGAGTGGACCATATTGGCAAGCAGTGGTTAAAACCTGGTCTGAAGAAGTGTAAGTCTGAATAATACTGATAAACAATGAAAGAAACACATCTTTCTTTTTTTTATCATCAATCATTTGCTTTCCTCCTGTCTTTCCAGATTTTAACATGTCTATACTTCAAACCCTTGTTGTTTATAATCTCCTTTTTCTTTACTTGTCACTTCATCTTAGTTTAGTTCATGTCAGGATTTGCCTCTTTTGCCCTTTTTTTTAATCATTCCATTATAACTAGTTTGTGTTTTGTTGTGCCTCAAATATTTTCCTGACTATAAGCTGCTACTTTTTCCCCATGCTTTGAACCGTGTGGCTTTGCTTTGGATTTTTCCTAAACGCCAGAGGGGGAAGTTAAAGTTGAAAATGAAAGAATAAGGGCACAAGAACATGCTAGCAGCAGGTACAACGGGGAACAAAAGTCTATTCGTTCATTTTTTTTGCCGCATTAAAGGTCGGTGGGAGACAGCTGTGGTCGGAACATTGAAATTTCTCTTATTTCATATATTAATTTAAGCTATCTACTCACTAAAATTTTTTTTCTCTCAGTCTGTATCACCTGCAAGGCCACACAATGCCTGAGTGAGTATTTATAGACAAGACATACTTCTTCCCATAACAAGCAAGATTCTTTCTCAAGGTTTATTTATAACATATTGGTGTTTAACCAAAGTGTCTGTAATTTGATTTTAATCTGAATAATTTCCATTATTGTAAGTAAGGAGAACGAATGCAGTCCAGATCAGAACAGAACAGGGCTGATTACAAAGCAATAAGGGCCTTAGGATGAACTGTTCTCTCTTTGGAAAGATAAAATAAAGTGCCGACTGTGTCATGATTTTATCAAGAGCTCGGACCCACATGCAGAGAAACCAAAACAGAGAGACCAGGGAAAAAGTTTAACAGGTTTATTGAGAAGCTTGTGGAGATTCCAGTGTTGCTCTGAACACTGCTCAACCGGAACTGATCGGTGAGGGGAAGACACTGCGGTTAGTTTAGGTTCAGTGGGAAAATTGATTCTCGAACTTGAAGAGGAGAAATGGTTTGCAGACTCACGTTTCCAGAAAAGTGGTTGACTCTTACCCCCGGCTCACACCGACTCCGGTCTTACCGTTGCGGTGCGGTGGGTGCGGCGTTGCAGTGATTCCAAGTCATTAAAAAGACGTAAACCTCTCTCACCGGCTGCTGAGCTGTCCGGCTGCGGTTACCGAGACACTCCGGCGCTGCAGAAAATTCAGCAAGAAAGCTATCCTTGCGGCATGCCGGAGCCCTCAGCAACAAGCTCTCGCAAATATCCTTATTTGGGCCGTGTTATCGCGTGAAGTTACGTGAACTCAAGTGAACTTCTGTTCTCGCGAGTTAAATCTCCGGACCTGTTGCCGGAGCCGCAGAGCCGCACCGCACCGTAGTGAAAAGGGCGGTGTGAGAGGGGGTGTGCGGGAGTTGCGGTCTCCGTCGGCTCGGTAACCGCACCGGAGCCAGTGTGAGCAAGGGGTTAGACTCCAGTCGGTGTGGGGAGTTCCAGTCTTTGTCTCTTTCGGTGGAGGGCGGACAGGGGTTACCCAGAATGCGGTTGTTTGTAGGAGAACGGGGAAACTGACTGCCACTCCTGCAGTACTTGGACTGTGGTGCAGATGAATCCCTTGCTCAGTGAGAAACTCAAATGATCCCTTGGAGGAAAGTGGATCCAAACCTCCAGTTTGAATCCCCAGCTAAGTTTAAGGCTCAGTTGATCCTTCCAGGGAGAGAAGGTCCGAAACGTCCAGTTTGCAGGATGACTTCCTGCCGGGGTATCAAAGACAAAAATAGCAAGATTAAAATTCAGGTTGAAAAAAAACTCAGTTTTAATTAGCAAAACTTGGCTTGGCTAGAGTTCCCAAAACTGGCAAACACTCTGGCGACGAGGTAGTGGCAGTCAGCAGCTTAAGAGCATTCTGTTAATGAGGTAACCCTCTGCAGGTGTGTGAGGAGGTGAATCAGAACCAGGCGCCGCCTGGTGGAGGAAGGAAGACAAACACACAAAACACAAACCACACAGACAGGAGTCCTAACAGACTGAGTGAAATCAATCTATCTCCATTTATTTAACTGGAGTAAATTCCCACTAAACAGTTCAGTAGATATCAGCGGCTTATAGTGTGGTGACTTATATATATGTACGTTTCCTGTTTTTTCTAAACATATAGAGGCCGCAGCTTAAAGTGAGGTGCGCTCTATAGTCCTGAAAATACAGCACGTTTTTAACGCCCGTTGTTGCAAATTAAATTGATTGATTGAAAGGAGTAACTTCAGCTATTTTGTGTCTCCTCAGATTTTTGTGAACTGGAACTGGATCCAAACACGGTTAGCAGAAAGCTGCTACTGTCTTACAACAACAAAAGGGTGAACATTGTCGACGAGGAGCAGTCGTATCCTGATCATCCAGACAGATTCGAGTGGAATCAACTTCTGTGCACAAATGGCCTGACTGGTCGCTGTTACTGGGAGGTGGAGTGGAGTGGGAGAGTCCTGGTATCAGTGAGGTACAGACGGCTCACACGGAGGGGTCTCAGCAGCGACTGCTGGTTTGGAGGAAATGAACTGTCATGGAGTCTGAGGTGCTGCGACGATGTCGGTTACGCTGTCTGTCACAACAACATTATGACAGCCGTCCCTATTCCTGCCTCATGTCTCTCACACAGAGTAGCGGTGTATTTGGATCATCCTGCTGGAACTCTGTCCTTCTACAGAGTGTCCTCCGGGAATCTGACGCACCTTCACACCTTTAACGCTACCTTCACTGAGCCGCTATACCCTGGCTTTGGATTCTGGTTTGAGTCCTCAGCTTCACTCTGCTCTCTGTGATGATGGTACTATTCGGAAAGGAAATTCCACTTCAAGTATCTGGTCTAAAGCTACCTTATATTACTAGCACATTAACTTAAACAAATTAATAAATTAATGGTAAAATGAGCAATATTTATAGCACATTATTAAATGGAGTGACTATTGGCATGTGTCATGAAACGCGGACAGAAGGACCCAGTATTCAAGGAGAGACAGAAACTTCAAAAAGTTGCAGGAAGGGGAGCGGGGCACCGCCCAATCACAGACAATCTGCAAGAGAAAGACAGGTAAGTGACCACGATCATCTGACAGAAGAAGATTATCTGAGTTGGCCACTTACCTGGTTTAACAGTCCAGTCCAAGAATGTCCCCAAGAGCTGAAGTCCCAGAAGACTTGCTGGAAGCCGATCCTGGTCAGGAATCCAGAACAGACAGGAACAGGATCCAGATCAGGCAGGAACAGAAACAGGTTGCAGGATCCAGACTTCCAGGCATCCACAGGCTTCCAGGAGGGTTCAGAGTCTGACAGGGTCCGAAAGCGTGACCAGGTGGTCACGCACAGGAGCAGACAGGATCAGGTGCAGATGAGCAGGCTCAGTGGAAGAGGGTAGCCGAGACAGGACGTGGAATCAGAACTTGATGCAGGACTTTAAACTGGTCTCCTCCCTGGAGCCAGGCCTACTGGAATAAAAATGAACCTCCCCACATATAGAGCCAAACACCCAGAGGACTCTGCGGGGGAGGAACAGTGGACGATCAGGAGACGAGACAAACACAAAAACCTCTTTCCACTGGACATGAACCATGAAATAAAAATAACAGACAGGCTAACAGAAAGACAAGTAATGATCTGGCACTGAATGCTCAGGCTGAACTGAATATAAACCAGAGGAAACAGGTGAGAGGAATAAATTATAATTGAGGCAGGGAGGGAAAAACGACAGGTGAAAGGAATGACTAATTAAGGGAGAGCAAACAGGCCAGATCATGACAGCATGTGTGTTACGATACAGACGTGTCACGATACTTGGGTCACAATAAGATATTATCATGATATTGTACTATCACTATTTATTGTGATATTTTACCCAGCAATCAAAGCAAAACGCATAGATAAAAAGGCAAGTGCTGTATATGTTCATCAGAATCCATGCTGTTTCTGGTTTGAGTAAGTCCATGGCTCTTTCTCAATTCACAAGAACGCGAGTATGGAGACGTATGGATTCGCCAAGTATATTGAGAAGATCTCAGGAAAGTCTGGACTTGGGGTCAATTGGAGCACGCAGCATAAATGTGGGGCAATTGGAACAAAAACGTACTCGTAATGTCGCCACATTCAAAGCTAGTCTGAAGCTGCATTTCCTCTCCTGTTATTAATAGTCTCTAGATTATAATAAATTCTTACATGTTTGAGCCCTTGCCTCGCAACGCTGCCAGTTCTGTTAGCTCTACGCCTGCCGAAGACACAGACGTCCATCCCCGTGAACACTGGGACGCAACTCAATGGGAAAGGAAAGGATTCTGATTTCTTATGATTTCTCTGGAATGAGTCCCATGACTGAATTGTGAATTCTTGGAAGCTGAAACCTCATCCTCCCCCTCTGTTCAGTGATGGTTTTTCTCTTTTCACAAAGAAAACTTGACCCCTCTTTCAGTCCATCTGTCCTGTCTGTCCAAAATCTGTTTTGATTCAACACAGAGGAAAACAACTGAGACTTGTAATTCCAGTTGTATCAACTTGAAAGGACATTTTCCAAACAAAACATACCAGTACATTTGAAACCCAACAACACACTTGGACAAAAAGTGGTTTATCCTAAAGACAGAACAGCCAAACCGAAGCTCAGCGGCGTTGTTCATGTGATCCAGTGCAGTGACGACTGTACCTCATATATTGGGCTAAACAATAATTACAGTTGGCATCATAAAATAGAACAACACTACGAATTATTTTATTCTAATATAAAATACATTTTAACACAGAAACAGTATCTTATCTGAAATTTTATTTAACAATATCCAAAATAAACAGCTAGATGCAATTATTTTTGCCAGATATTAATGTTTGTACTCATTTAATAACACACTGTGTGGAAATCTATGTACAATAAAAACTGTAAATAGTGTTTCTCTGTCTGTATTTGTCTTTACTCTAATGGTTAGCACTATTATTCAGTTCTATTTATGCTTTTATACCTAAGCAGATCGAATCAGAACAACAGAAGTTATTTCGGTGCCATCTAGTGTTAATACACTGTATATCAGGTAAAAGAATTAAGACCAGTTAATGATCCCTAAATTGTACGGAGGCCCTGAAAGGCAAGTGAGAAAAAACAAAAATTAAAAGTCTTTTTTAAAATTATTTGTTTTGTTTCTCCTGCCATAAAAAGCAAATGAAAAAAAGGGTCACCACTGTAATTCATTCTAAATTGTTCATAAATATTGAAGTTGGATATGAAAGCCACATACCACGTGTCATGATTTTATCAAGAGCTCAGACCCACATGCAGATAAACCAGTCCAGAGAGACAAGGGAAAAACTTTAACAGGTTTATTGAGAAGTTTTGTGGAGGTTCTATTGTTGCTCTGAACACTGCTCAACCGGAACTGAAAGGTGAGGGGAAGACACTGCGGTTAGTTCAGGTTCGGTGGGAGAATTGATTCTCGAACTTGAAGAGGAGAAATGGTTGGCAGACTCACATTTCCAGAGAATTGGTTGACTCTTAGAGTTAAGTAGGTGAGGAATGTGTTCCGTTGTTTGTCTCAAATTTTACTTTGAAAAAATGTAGTTTAGAAATTAGGATATTGATGTTTGGAGATTAGGCCTCTGGCTTTACATTAGAAAATTAAAGCCTTTAGTTTAGTTTTTGAGGTTTTACTTCAGTGCCTCTAGTGGCAAAGTAGTATAAAAACAAAGACTTAAAAAAAATTACCCTTTAAATTTTTTTTTTAAATTGGGACTAGTTTCGTAGCCTAGTTTTAAATGTAGTAACTGCAGTATCTCAGCATAAATGATATTTAGAAATAAGAAAGGGAAACCCTTTTCCCTCCGATGGATAAGGAAAGTAGTCATTGCTATGGTAACACAATGATGTTAAGTTAATGTGTTAAGTATAATCTCAACATTATTAATAAATGTTTATGGAGATAAATCTTAATGTGGTAAAATATTGTTTTCCCATCTGTAAAAATCTTAAACTCTTTACTTTAAAAAAAAAAAGTTGCTCAGCAGTCGATTTACGGCTGAGATGGTGGAGAATAACCACGTAATGAATGGAAGAAGAGAAAATATGGGGGAGAAAGGAACCAAACTTTAATGCTGATTTTTGAGAATATTGAGGTTCTGCTTACTTTCTAATGTTATATTTTATTTTATTGTTTCAGTTGTTTAATGAAAAAGGAATGCAATTAATACTAGTAGTGACTAACTGGCACTAATTAAGATTGAAACATCTAGATATATCAATTCAAATCTAAAATAATGCAAATAACAAGTGAGACTTTATAGATACATATATATTTTAGAACTCAAAAGTAAAAGTATAGCCTACCACTAAATTAATACTTCATAAATATATTGAACTAACCCCCCTGTGAAATCAAATGTTTGCAAATAAATAGTACTATATTCTATATGACACATATGAAATTCTTATAATATATTCTATATCATATAATATCATACTATATCTTATAATAGAAATAATAATAATAATATTACCAAGGAAAACAAAAATGTATATAGATTTAATAAGTGAGATTTTAAAAATTGACAAATTCACTAAACCTTGATTTAAAATAATCTGGATAAAAAAATCTGAATTTATTAGGACTGTTGCTTACTGGATGTAACTCAGGCTCTAGAGGAAAAGTGTTGCTTTTTTAAAGACAACAGTAAAATGCTGGAGATTTTTTTTTTTTTTTTTACATCATTAAGTCACTTAGTTGGTGTTTGAGTCGTGATTTAAATTTCTAAATGTTTAATCAACTACGGAAGGTCTTTCGACTTGACATTCAAACTACTTCATTCATTAAATTCAGCTGAAGATCACTTTAACCTTTACAGATTAGTTCAGTTTTTATTTTATTTTGTTTTGTTTTTAAGCAGTAAAGAAGTTGGTGAATAAAAGACATATCCCATATCCTTGTGGAAGAAGCTAGAAAGGTTTTTGCATGCAGGAAATACCCAAATAATAATTTCAGTCAAAGTTCTATAAGTATAGCAAACATGTTCTCACATCAGCAACAAAAAAAAAAAAAACCTCTTTACTATACAGAGAATAAATATGTGAAAATGTGTGAGCTGATTCATTTAAACTTTTGTAGACCTGCTTACTAACAGCATCTTTACTACCTTCTTTATTTTTCTAAATTTTAAGGCCAGAATAACCATTGTTGAAATCAAACCAACATGATTTGATTTCTGTATCATTGCTTTATTAAAGGAATAGTACACCCAAAACATGATTAGCCTTCATTTTCTACTCACCCCCATGCTGAACAACACTCTGGAGTACTTTTTTTATATCTCAAATGCATCTGGAGATCTGGGAGGCTTCTTGCTGTCTGCTGACATTCAAATAATGGAGGTCTATGGCGCCCGAGGCAGAAAGGTCCATAAAAGTCCACAAAAAACGTGTCAATATTCCTCCATACTGCTCGTCCAATGTATTCCAAGTGTCCTGAGTGGGTAGCGTTTATAATTTACTCGAAACGAAGTCATTTAGAATGTTTTTAGAGCATAAACAGTAGTGTATAGGATTTCCTAAAAGCGCTTTCACAAGTCTACGGAAACCGCGGCAGACCAAACCAGATGAAAGTGCGCATTCAGCTCGGCAAAGAACTCATGCTCTTCCTCAACACTGAAGTCCTCAGACATTTTTCTTTCGTTGTTTCTTTCTTTGCACAGGTAAACAGCACATTTCTTCTTCTACACTTGCATTATCGGCAGAGCAGACGCTGAATGCGCACTTTCGTCTGGTTTGGTCTGCCGCGGTTTCCGTAGACTTGTGAAAGCGCTTTTAGGAAATCCTATACACTACTGTTTATGCTCTAAAAACATTCTAAATGACTTTGTTTCAAGTAAATTATGGACGCTACCCACTCAGGACACTTGGAATACATTGGACGAGCAGTATGGAGGAATATTGACACGTTTTTCTGGACTTTTATGGACCTTTCTGCCTCGGTCACCATAGACCTCCATTATT